TATAAACGGGAAGCCATTTGAAATTGTAAAATCCGCAAAAGTTCTGGGCATGATAGTTACCAATGATTTGAAATGGAACAAACATGTAAGCAATACCGTGGAAAAGGCTTCTAAGAGACTTTATTTATTAAGGCAATTAAAACGTGCTGAAGTGGAAACTAGATCCTTATACAAGTTTTATACCGCATGTATAAGATCTGTCGTTGAGTATGCTTGCCAAGTCTTCCACTCGAGTCTCCCTAACTACCTATCAATGGAAATTCAGAAGGGCTACGGATTATCCACCCAGACTCGAGTTACATCGAAGCATTAAAAAAGGCAAAGTTGGAAACATTGTACGATCGAAGAGAAAAGTTGTGTGTAAAACTATTTTCATCAATCGAAGCAAATAATGATCATAAGTTAAAAGAACTATTGCCACCGAAAAATTCACAACCAAACAATCTCAGAACAAACCGAAAATATACTGTAATCTTCCCAAGATTCACACGAACAGATTTAGTAATTCCTTTATTCCATATTGCGCACGTAATGCAACTTTTAGGTAATTTCAGATCATTAATATTTTAAATAGTTATGAACCTACATTTACATTTAGATTTTAGACTTTTTATTAGAGACAACACGATGTGTAAAAACATGACATGTAAACATTATATAGGTACGTACATATATTTATAAATATATTTATATTCATATATTCTCATTTTTGTAAATTCAATAGTAATTCAGTTCACAAGACTGTAAATATTGATTCAATTAAATGTTCTATCTATATCTATTTATCTATATATCTACAACCTGGTGAAAATGTCGGAAACATTCGATGCTCGACGTGTAATGAAAACGACAATCGGGCCGATCGGCTCCAAGGGTTGAAAAACTACAGTATAGTCGTGCATGGGTCGAATGCTCCAAAAGCGCGACCTCTGATTCTCTCAATAAGCATGTGAACACTGATATGCTGCATATGCACAAGCATGCTGTTGATACTGTATAGCAATGAAAAAACATCTTGGCTTCGAACGATATACCGAAAATGTAATGAAAAACACTCCGATTGGGAAGTCAACAACCAAGATGAAAGAGCACTCAGAAGAAGTCTTAAAGATGCGGTTCAACACGGCCTATTGCCTTGCCAAGAAGGGCTTCAAGGAGAAGCCATTTAATGACTACCCCGAATTACTGGCACTACAAGAAAAAAAGAATAGAATTGACAAACAAAGAGAATACCGCACTCCTCTGAAAGCTACAGCAAATTTCATTGACTTTTACTGTATGTATATAGCAGAACAATTTAAAGCTCCCCTGAAAGAAATTCTCGTGAAGGCTGAGTATTAGTCCATTTTGACTGATGGCAGTACGGACACAAGTGTAATCACAGTCGTATATTTAACAACGACGCTTGTACGTCGCACGAAATAAAAATTATACACGCAGTCAGCACTTACTATCTTCAGATGTTCTTGCGTTTTTCGGCAGCCCAGGTGGTCCAGCTCCCTTTGACGTAGCAGCTTTAACAGCGACAACGTAGGTGGTTTATTATTATTTAACAATTATCTCATTCTATTAACTGTGATGTAATTGATCAAGAACTTATTTACGTTATGTTCCTCAGTGATGGACAAGTCAATATGAAATTCCTTAGCATCGAAAACCCTGCAGTGGCGGATGCCAATCATTTGGTCGAGTGTATTATAAGGAAGCATTTAATCGCATAGGCATAGTAGATTATTCCTCCCGTTTGCATGGGCTGAATGTGGATAGAGCTTCCGTCATGCAACCTGGGAGTCCACTGTCCACAGAGGTGTTGCAGCACTTTTGAAGCGGGAATCTCCCTGGAAATAACCCTGGTTAACTGCCATACATTGCTTCAATCACATGCAGGATCGAGCTGGCTGCAAAGGACGTATTTGGAAACTCTGTGTTTGAAGAAATTGACCTAATCCTTGCGTTCTTGTACAAGATTTATCGAAACAGTTCCAAAAGATTGAAAGCGCTGAAGGAGCTTGGTACTGCATTGGGAGAAAAACTGCCAAGATCTTTCAAGGCATCAGGAACTGTACTCGATGGATTGGACATCATTACAACGCCATAAAGATTGTTTTAAAGCACTATGGAGCATATATGATGCATCTTGAAGAACTTTCAAAAAATGATAGTCAAACCGAAAAGCGGGAACAGTTCAATGGTTATCTTAACAAGTGGGAGCATGGGAAATGCCCAATATCCATCGCTATTTATCTTGATGTCTTACGGTATCTATCTTGTCTAGAATGTCTCTCAGTGAGCAAAAGCAACAACATGACCCCGTGAAAGCAGTTCGTCGAATACAAGAATTCAAATGGACAATGGTTAAATTGCACGGACATGTCCGAGAAGCGTTAGATCACAACGAACTGAACCAAGCGGAATAATCTCGCCTCACTTATACAAATTTAGAAGTGAAGTTAGTTCGAAGATGATAACTCATTCGTTTACCACGGAAGAAGGCTGAAAAATTTTGAAGCTGCAAGTGAACGGAGAAGTAAGGAAGATTTACCGATTGACTATAAATTGCTGCTCTTTCTGATGCCGTCCGCGGTCGGTTTGAAAGTGTATCCATCTGTCTTGTGTTCAAACATTTGGTAGATATTCTCGACTGCACCAGATGGCCAACTGATGTAACTCAGCTTCTATCTTAACTTATGGAGATTTGAACATGACTGAACTTATCAAGCATTTCACGCCGTTATTAGAGCGTGATCTTTGTGATATAGCAGAGATTCCTGCATGCAGAGTGGGATATACTGAAGAATCGACTTTGTCATTTGATACACCCTATAATAGCAGTTATCTGGATGTCTGGTCTATAGAATGCTTACCTCAGGGGAAATTCGGAAAGAGTGTGCTAATGTGCTGTATATTATCGAGTTATTGCGAACGAATGGTTAGCACTATGGGAAGAGTAAAAACAGACTGGCGTAATCGACTTGAAGATCGACTGGAAGCGAATCTCAGAATCCAGGAATGTGACTCGATTGATGATTTCTGCCCAGACACAGCGATCGAATGGTTCAATGTCAAAATTCGACGACCGGATTGTTCTAGGCATAGCTATCCAAAAAAACGCAAAACAATCTCGTAAAAAGGAGATGTGATTGACATCACCGAACTGACTATGTCTGATTTAGAAAACGGTGATCTAGACTCCGACGATAAAATCGATTTCTGACTCTAAAATCTAGATTAAATTTCTAGTCAACTTGTACATTGGCTGTAAATGTCTTTATATTATAACGTATACAACTTTTTTCAAAACATATTTCAAAACAGTACAGAGGTTTATCCGTAATTTTCTTTTCTCTATTTGAAACGTTGTAGAAATTAAGTTCATGTGAATGCCTTTTACCATTTTGAGGGTTTTGTTATTACCGCCATTAATTAGTTTATTTTAATTCCTCAATAACATCGTTATCCGCGACGAGAAAGCGAGAAGCCATTGTTTTTATTGCTATTTAATATGTATTTATAAAAGAAACTTCCCGCGCTCGCCGCTTTCGTCTCGGCCAATTAGGTACAAGTAATTTTGCCCTGAATTAAGAAAAAATGCCCTCATTAGCCAATCATATATGAGTAATTTTGCCCTCTATATGATTAAGTGCAGTACTGTAAGCATAAGGGAAACAAACAAAACATGATTAAATCTAAAACTTCGATAGGAAATCCAACTCTCTATATTTCAACGGCTTTGAGGTGGCGTTTTGCTTCATCCTTCAATTTTACTATACGTTCCTTGCTGTGGTGGTTTAACCTTCCCAATTTAGTTGTCTTGATCACACAACAGACAGTCAACAACTGACAGCAAATTTTACATATTAATATCCCTCACACGATTCCCGTCCCACGGGACAAATTTCCCGTCCCGCGGGATAAAATTCCCGTTACCCGGGAAGAATTTCCCGCCCCGCACATGACTGTTAACTTTCCCGTGAACGGTATTGTAGGTGGCAGTAGATTAGTTTGGTTGGTGGCACGACTAGACCAGGGCTAGGGAATCTGTGGGGATGTATAATTTAGAAATCTTGAGTTTCTAAAATGGCATACCCTGCAATCTGGAGACGATGAGGTGATTGAGATGCATGCAGAAGCTATGTCATCTAATCGGACAAAGTTTCATATTAAGTTTTCCCGATCTGATCTTTTTTGGTGGAAGGACAATAATTGCTTTGCAATAATCAATATTTTGACTACAACTGCGCTGCCAGTTAGATGTGCTACAATCAATAGTGGAGACTCCCTGCAGGGAAGCACTTGGAATGCAGTCTAGATTTTCATGTCTTGGCATAAAATAGGTTGAATATTTTGGAATGGAAAAAATATTGATATTATTAGTATTATTTTTCAGTAATTGGCATTCCATATTTTTGTTCAGTGTTGCAACAACCTACAGTGGTATTTGTGTGTTTTTAGACTTCAAAGATCATGTAAAACATATAGAAAAAGGTGTGAACAGCAAAGAGCCTCATTTCGTTTTGAGAGTTCTGAGATCTCTTTCATCCACCAGGAAAAAACTGAACCATCCATTGTTGAGAAAACTTATTACTGGATATTTCGTTCAAGGTAACATAATTTCCTTACTTCTTAAAGGTGACGTAAAGTCCGTAATGTAAACAAACGCTTTGTTTACATTTTGAACTCAGTGCTAAAGTTGTAAAATACGATTAGATATATATTATACTGAATTTTTAACACTCTTCTGGTTCACTATGCTTGTAAATGAATACAGACTAGAGATTCAATTCAAGAAAGTTCGGAAGGTGCGAAATGTTAACAACATTCCAATGGTCGGGTGCCGACCATTGGGATGTAGGCCTGCGCAGAACGGACTTTACATCACCTTTACGGTTTGTTTACATAAACAGGGGAGGATATTTGTATTATCCTGTGAAGGACATGGAATGATGTATGTTGCAGAAAAAATTCATAATAATAAGTTAACATCAGTTTTGTAATTTTTAGCATCACAAGCAAAGCATGAACTGCTGAAGTTCTTGGATGAGGTACTGTATTTTCTTGTACTCAGGGATTGTAATGCATTGTTGGACAATCAATAATTAGGGATAAGCCAATCATGAAAATCCAATTTACTGAGATATGATAAATTCCTATACAAATAATTAAGTCACACAAGACCAACAACACTGCATTATTACATTTATTTTATGCTAAGATTTCGAGCGTGCTTTCACCAGTAGGAGTGGAACCTATATATCTCTTCGAAATGCGTCAGCATGAATAATTAAGCACCATCATCAGCATAGGGATTACTATACTGTATAAATCCATACCTGCAACCAATGGTATCCCCTCCATCCCCAATATAACTACTAGTTAGCCATCATAGTGAAAAAACTAAGCAAATAACCAATGAAAACTATATTCATCGAAATGATCAGAGTAATCTCTTTGCCTTAATTGGTACTGACACCATCAACACCAAGTAGAATTGAGGCGTGCTATACATGCAATACAAGGTACAAGATAGTTGCCGACAAGGAACGGGAGACACCTGTGTGGGAAATTTGAAGTGACTCAGTGCACAGCTTGTTAGTGACTATAATAATAATTATTCATTTCTTTTGAGCCCAGTATATACTGTATATACGTCCATGCGCTAGTATACCGGCTTCCCTGTTAATTTCCTTTTATTCTACCATTAAAATACATCAAGGATTCTGCCCAACTCGTATTTCGCTTGCCTGCCAGTATAGAACAAAATAGACCTTGATTACAGAGAACTTTTGCAAAAGAAAGGAGTCTAAATTTTCATTTTTTCTTTACTTCTAAATCCATGAATTCAACCCACTGGCAACGGCTATTGTACTGTGCTATTACAATAGCTGTGTATAGAAACTCCAGCCTCATCAATTATATATAGTAATTTTGTCATGGTTGTAAATTGTACATTTAATACTGTTTAGCCTATGGAAACAGATGTGTTGACCGTATACCGACCGCGAACAGGAAAAGCAGCTGCCACTCCTGTATTGCCTGAAGTTGAGTTTTACTTTCACCTTCTGGTTGTTATTCACTTGATTGATACCAAGGCTTATGAAAAGGTAAAATATTAAAGGAATACCGAATGGTTTTTTACGCTTTCCGAAACTGTTTTGGTGAACTTGCCGCTCGTTTAATATACTGTTATTGTTTATTTCACGCATTGAAATGTTTTCGTTCCGACATTTTGAAAACCCCGCGGAAGGCATTTAATACCTGTACAGGATTGTCTCATCCTGCACGGGTATTGACCAATCAGATTGCGTGTTTCACTCTAGTTATTATATAGTCTTTTTTTTACCATCATGCTCCACCAGTACACTATAAATGCATAAATATCATTGAATAGACCATTCCCCTTTTAAGTGAAATTTTGATCTAGACAAATCTGGACAAAAATTTCATCACAGCTTGAAAGAGCATCACAAAATTAATAATATTCCGAAGTTTCGTTGCGAAATGTTGTAAAATGCGGATAATATAGCCTTGCGAAGTTTGCCGTTTTTCAGTCATTTGGTATTACAAACGGGAAATTGATAATCAGTTTGATCATCTGATTATCAATTTTCCATTTGTAATACAAAATGACTGAAAAACGGCAATCTTCGCAGGACTATATTATCCTCATTTTACAACATTTTGCAACGAAACTTCGGAATATTACTAATTTTGTGATGCTCTTTCAAGCTGTGGTGAAATGTTTGTCCTGTAATAATACAAGTACTGTATATAATTGATATTACAAATCCTTGAATTATTCTTGCTTGAATTGTTATTGGATATTTTCTGAAATTTGTCGGTCTATTATTCCGCAGCCAGAACGTTGAAAAACGGACATTTTCCTGAATTGATTTTGTTCATGTCTTACAAAACTATATCTGAAATTAATTAGAGTTGCAATTTGAACAGTTGTTAACGTAAGTCACTTTTTACTCATTACACTAACAGCCATGTTCACATGAACCCGGAACAGCTTCATGTCTCGAGGCAAGCAATTCTCCCTGGACAAAAATTCTCGCGGCCCCTTAATATAAATCAGTAATGCTGTCTACTTTATATTTTACTTATCCCTGCCGGAACAAGACCTGTTTGCAAAGCGATCTAAATCGCGCGGCTACAATTACATTTAGAGCATGTTAGAATCCACAAAAACGTGTTGTTTCTTTGAAGATATCATTATAGAAATCTATATATAAGTGATGATGCTGATAATATTAAAATAAAATTGTCGCTGGTATTATCTTTGAAACCAAGAAATGTAGATTATGTAGTCTATACCCTAAGATGGCTTTTATATGGATCCAGTTCATTCTTCGTTTAAAATAATTCGAAACCATCGTGGATTTGACCAATTTAATAGCAAGTTAATTCGACGTATGAAAGGAGGTAAAAAGGCCTTACGTTTTTACATTTATTTCTATACTATCCTTTATGTTTCAGGCGTTAAAATGTTCCACGTTACTTCTACAAAAGTCAGAGCTACACAACAGGCGAACGTTAGATCTGATCTTGGCTAAATGTTTTTTCTATCACTCCAGAACATACGAATTACTTGAGCGATTAGACGAAATCAGAAGGTGCGTATCTTTAGAAACTACTGTAAAACGCATTGTCATTGTACTGTATCAAATGGAATACATTAAGTATTTATTAAGTTATACAGTACGACTCTGTTTTTCATGCACTGTATAGTATATCCTTTGTATACAGTCAGGGTGCGATAATTCGCTTACCGAAGTTGCGCCAATATTACGGTCTGTATTTTCAGCCATGTACTACGTAGGTACGCGGTACTCGTGCTATCGCCTTAGCAAGCCCAAGGATTTCAACACCGTAATTTAGTCGGAATTTAGTGTAAGTCTGACATGACTACTATATAATTGGCATTAAACATGATTGGGCTGATGGGATGAGATAGGACTAAGGCACGTTGTAGTCGATTGTATAGTGTTTGTATTGTGCTCCTTGATCTATATTGACTACTATTACTTAATGAATACCTTTCAGAAACTTCTATTATACTTTTCAGAAACTTGTGCTTTAAGCCTGGTTTGCCTATGATCGTTTAATTGTAACGGTTTGTAAAGATTGAGTCACGATCTTTCTTATCAGCCGAAATACAACAGTTTAAAACTGAAAATATAGGGAGAGTAGTTATAAACAGAGAGAACATACTAGAAAATACATGCATGCAGAAACCCTCGCCTTGCTGACAAAACCATTGTATTTTCCGAACATGAATTATCTATAATAAAAGTAGTTTCATGGTAACACGATAATTTTTTAATAATATTCTTACAAATGAAAAATCGCCTAAAAATATCACTTTTAATTACAAAATTGTTAATTTCTTAACATATATATGTTAGGTATGTTATTATACGTAATATAAGCCTAAATTTAAGGTAAAATTCAACCACAAACACTTCGCAAAACGTTTTAAAGTCACTAGTGTTCTTTATAAAACTAAACTGCCTTTTAAAATGGCTTTATCGATAAACTTTGAGTTTGCAATAAAATCATTTCAAATTCTCGCTTGCAAATAACTTTGCTTTCTTTTTTATTTATTTAAAAAATTCAATATCATAAAAAAGGGAATCAATATTAAAGATACACTGAAATTATATGCTGCCTTGTTTTAATAGTTGTTTCATATACGCAAAGGCCGTCGGGTTTTAAAGCCATTATAAAATCAATATTTAAAACAAACTTACCTTCCTTAACGTCGGCTCCCTTCTTTTAGCCGATTCATTCGCAGTTTCTTTCTGAGAGAGCTTTTGAAATTTACAAAATCTTGCAAAAATGCGAGCAAAAATGAAATATATATATTTGCAAGAAATGTATCAATCATCAAATCAAGAAGTGTTTGTTATTTCGCTGTCGTCATGCAGTCGTTATAATGCGAACTTGAAATTGGGTCAATCAGTGTCCGCTATTCATGACAGTCCGCCATATTTTTGAGATCAGTGAGGATGACCACCCACTCAACACCCCACCATCGTTGGTGACCCACGCCCGCGATAATTGATGAACTTTAGACTTCGCTAATGCTTTCGTTTCCCCGGGTGTAAATAGCCTGGGGAAATTAGTACCCTCGTACGGCGCCGTCGGCTCGGGGATGATGTGGTTTACAGGTAAAAAAAACTACAATCTGGCCGTTGAGAAAGATTATGACTTTATCTTTACTACCGTTACGACCATATGAAAACCTGGCTTACGCCTTGTTCACACTAGCAATTTTGTCGGCGATTTTGTCTTTCTGACGGATGTAAATGAGTGAACTCGCACACAAAAGTGTAGAATCGCTTTTCAGAAGTAAGCAATTCTAAGTCTTTTGCATGTCATTTATTCGATTACATTTGCCAGGAGGAGAAAAATCGCCGACAGAATGGCTAGTGTGAACCAGGCTTTATTCTACTTCATTTTAAAGTACGCTTACACGATGCCATTTGTCGTGTCCGAGTCGTAATCTGGCATATGCATGTATCGAGTAAGCACGCGTAAAAAGTAGTTGCATTTCAAGAGAATATACTTTTAGAGAGGAATTGTGAGAGAATCGAATCGTACACGACAAATCGCAGCGTGTAAAAACGTGGCTTTAACGTACCTTTAAAGAATAGTACACCTTGATTCTTACGTTTTTGTACCAGTTCAAGTACGCGGCAATAATCGTTGGAGTTCCTGTACATATATGTTTATCATTCTGTAGCTTCTTTCACTCGAAATTAAGGACAGCAACTTTGAGACACAATATAGAAGGACAGGTAAATCTCAACATTAATATTACATTTTGCTTTTTAACACTCCTGTGTAATGTATTGGTTTATTCTTTTGTATTGAAATACGATATATTGTCTTGTTTCCTAGGCAACACTGCTCAATTTACTATTACGAAATTATCTGCACTACAATTTGTACGATCAGGTATAATGTAATTATAACGTGTGCGTTTATTGTTAGCTTATTGTTATGGATATTCATAAAAACTTATTAGATTTTGCTGTGATGCACAGGCTTTACGAAATCTCAAATTTGTTGCCAAAAAAGATTGCTGCAATAAAAATTTGATAGCCCACAGAAGGTTTCGTATGCCTCAATATACTTTTTATATCAAAGTTTCTTCAATGATGCAAACTAATGCATCATGCATATACTACTAATACAATAATTATATATTAACGTATTTGATTTATGTCCCAATTATAGTGAAATAAGGAAGCTCCATGGAAACGTTATTCCGCATCTGCTGTATGATTTCTAGGAATACTTGTTGGACACTTAGCAACAATGTTTTAGACAACGTCACACTACACCGGAACAAAATAATGCGGGCGGAATTTATGTGTGTTCACACTACGCCGTTGCAGTTTGTTTTCAAATTAAATTAGCACTCATGTAAACCCAAAATTTTTCAAATAGAGCAAAGAAATTTAAACGGAAAACATTCGAATTTGCTGTTTTGAGAAGCGAGATGAGATGGTTTGCAAGCAGTACAAAAAAGTAACATTGTTTGTGTTTACACGAAGCCGCCAAGCGCTTCGTTTTCATCTCACTTCGTTTAAAAACCCTGCACAAATCGTTATGGGTATGGCAAAAGTGACCTTTTCAAAACATTGCCCGGCTCCGGTGTAGTGTGAACGCGACGGCTAATTGTGACTTTTGTGCGCCGTTTCAAACCGCTCCGGCATATTGTGAACTTATAGTCTTCTGCTAACCGCAAACGATAAACCTCAAGTCGTGTTTTGACCATTGAACTAAAAATAACTGGAACGCTACGTTCAGTAAACTGCGCATGCAAATTTTGAAGCTAAAATTTGACTCCCATGAAGCCAGTTTTGACTCCCAGACACGCACTTCCACGCGTGTTTCTACTGCGCGATTTACTCGCGAGACAATGCAGGGGGCGATCGAAGCATGCCGTTTTGAACGTTTTCATGGCAAGATGCGAATCCAAAGGGAAACGGGCCTTTTATTTTAAAACGGGCCTTTTAAAGCCTGTGTACGACCCTGTATAATTTAGCTGCAAACTTCCGCTTGAACGTAGCGTTCCAGTTATTTTTAGTTCAATGGTTTTGACGTCAACAGTTATCCATTCAAAGTTGAGCCAATGTATACAGAACAATAAAATTGAAGCACGAATTAGCTAACCGTCAAACCTTATCTTTAAAGTTCAAATGCGATTTGCTGTTAGCGGTTAGCTTTTGCTGTAAACACTTAAGGTCTCTAATGTATCTTTATAGGCCGACAAACTGGTTTCAAAATCGTCCTTTCCCGATACTGCGTCAAACAGTGAATGGGCAAGATATTTATATTACACCGGTAGGTTTTCATTCTTGCTGAAGAAGACATATACCTTGTTTATTATACTGCACAGTTACTATGAGAGACAGCTTGTACTGTTGTTTAGTAATGTATGCGAAGTTATGCATCCAGTACAATTTGATATGAATGTGTTGGGATGGTTTGCTATGATATGCATACAATGCTACAGTGGAAAATGCTGTCACGACACTCCGCAAGGTTTGAGAGCCATTTTGTACGCGGTATAACTTTAATATGGAGAAGGTGGGAAAACACAAGACTTGCATTGCTGTATAGAAAGGGCCTTAATTGTCACATACAATACTTGTGGAATATAACAAACAGTTCATGGCTATACCGCTATGTAGTAATTCTAATGTGATAAATCGTATTAACGTGAGATATGTATAGTTGTAAACTACAATGTCGTGTTGCCCGGGCAAGAGCGGTAAGTCTATGTCCAATAATATTAATTGCAGTGAATTCTGTCTGTTCTCTGGCGCACACTTAATTCATGAACATGCAATCGATTCTTATGAGTAATTTTTTGAATACAAGTTTACAAAGTTCGTGTTTTTTTTCTTGACAGGAATTATAAAAGCCAAGCAACTTGAGTATTCAGAAGCGCATAAAAATTTAATTCAAGCCATCAGAAAGGCTCCACAGTTTTCTGCAGTTGGATTCCGGCAAATTGTAAGTTCTTGATGAAAACGCATTGTTTCGTCTTGAGGTATTAACAAAACCGCGGATGCTTCCTCTTGCGCAAAAAAAACCTAAACACGACATGACTTCATTCCTACGCCTATTACGGATACTGCATGTTAATATTAAACTACCACTAAGTAATCACGCCACAATTCCCAAAGACGACCCAATTAGATATCGCCATTCCGGAAGTGTAGATTTCACAACGTTAGGACGGTGTCCCACTAAGTCGATATTTTCTAATATACTTTTCAAATGTGTGAATGAGTTCACTGCTGTTGACTACAGACTATACCGTAGACGCATTCTAGAACGTTTTGACACGAAAGCATGACACATTTGCTCGCGAGAGGATCCACGGTTTTGGTAATATTTTTATAAATATTTCGTTAACTCTGAAAAATATAAAGCGAGAAAAACGTCAGAAAAAAGGGAGTTAGACTTGTTGAAAGCTTGAAAATGTAGAAAGAAACAGATTCCGAATTAAAAAAAACGATTCCTTGCCCCTTTGAAGCAGCATGAGCCAAACAAAGTAAATTTTGGCTTTATAAAGTCAGCATGGAAAATAATAATATAATGGTTGGTAACGCTAGCTTAGTGTTACATGTACAGTATATTGTAGAAACTGTTTCGTACAATGCAGAAAAAATATTCTGCCATTTAGTTGAAATAACAGTTATCCCATTTGACTGATGACAAATTGGTTCACGAGATGACTGGTATATGCAGCATTAAACGAAATTACTTCCTTTATATAGGCACAGAAGTTTGCAATCGTTGTTGAATTACTGCTTGGTGAAATTCCCGACAGAGCAACATTTAGAGATCCTGCTCTGAAAAAGACGTTGATTCCATACTTTCAGTTAACAAAAGGTTAGAGTTAGCATCGATACTTTTGCCATATTGCGACGCTTAAGCGTATATATAGGTTAAACGTGCGATTTTTCTCGCGCCTGCAACGCAGCGGGTTAAATTTCATTGCGTTGCTGGCGCGAAAGACGAAATCGCACGTGTTCTTGTTCTGCGCGGCAACGCAATTATAACTTGATACCTTCGGCAATCGATTCTATTTAGTCTGCCAGCCAATGAAGATCTCTTTACTTGAATATATTTGGGGCTGCAGATCCAGTGCAGTGGACTAGTAAAATATTTATCTCCAAGTTTACACAGTACTGTTGATACATGACGAAATCAGTTAATTTCCAAATTGTTACAAAATTATACACCTTTAAACACATATTAGGATTTTTAGGCGGTCTATTGACAACATATAATAATTTTGTTTCTGATGCTTGTG